TTCGGCTAGCAGATTGTTGGAAAAAATGTTGAGTTAAAAAAAAAAAAAAACCCTTTACTTTGTGAAAACAAAATGGCGTCCATAACAAAACTAGCCAGGTTGCTGTAGAAGGGATGGTTGCCAAATTTTCGCCAAAAAATTGCCAAGTTACCATAATCCAAAGATTAACCGAAATATTTTAAAAATATAGCGAAACTTTATTTTTAAGAAATTAATAATCAAAAAATAATAAACATTTTATCTCACAAAAGTCTTCGTACACTTCAAAAAAATCTTGACATATTAGTAAATATTTTCATTTTTTGTTAAATTAATATTAGTAGGATATCCTTTAGCATCCACAGCAGCTTTTAAATGTCTGGGAATATATTTTATAAGTTTTTTTTTTTTGTAATTTCTGTATCAGTGTTCATCCATTCTTTCATCATGGCTGTTTTCAGTTCGCTTTTCGTTTTGATGTCGTGTTTTCGTACTTTAACCTCCAGCTCTTTCCAGATATGTTCTATGGGCTTTAAATCTGGCGACTAAGGTGGTGTTTTCAAAACCTGTGGACAATTATAGAGACATTACAGGCGAACGTTGAGAGCCGTATACTTAGAATCGTTATCATGATTAAAAATAAAGTTGTTTCTAATACCTAAATTTTGGGCTGATAATTTTAAATTGTCTCTTAAAATATTTAAATAAAGAAAATGATTCATTATGCCATCAATAAATACCAAATTACCTAGTCCTGATTCTGTCATGCCTCCCCACACAAGAACACCTCCACCGCCATGCTTAACTGTTCCAACAAAGTTCTTAGAATGAAAGTTCCTCATTTTTTTCTTCTTCATACAGTGATTCAACCATTGGAACCAAAAATGTTAAATTTGCTTTCATCAGCAAATAGAACATTATTTCAGTATGTTTCGGGTATATTTATTATTGATTTTGAAAATGAAAGCCTAAGCTTTCTGTTTTTCTCATAACAAGTTTTTTTGGTACTATTCCGTTTTGAGGACCGTAAAAAACTGCAGCGAAAATGTATGCGCAAATGCGCCAAATGTAGCAAACGCGCCCATTTAACAGCGCCCTAAATCTAGCGTTCGAGCTGATTTCAAATTGCGTAAGTTTAGATAGTTCTATATTTCTTAAGACGCTATTGAAATACTAGTTTAATTTTTAAATCCTTTTTTGATATCCTATGGATTTAACAATTTGGGAATTGCCCATGACGGAAAGTCTGCAATAGAATTTTTTCAAAGAAAAGGCATCATTTATTATAGAAAATTATGTTTGAACAAACAACGAGATGAAATTATGCTTTAGTGATAACTCGGTAACGAAATAACGATGCATGAATCCATTCAGTTATGTTTAGCCTTTTTTATATAAATTATAATAATAAAAAGTATTATATGAAATTAACCTTTCATATAAATTAAAACATCTTAATCTTTAGATAAAACATTATAATCTTTAGTTATTTACTATTGCACTTCCTTTCTTGCGTTAGGGTTGCCGCAATTATTTTTGGCAGCACTGGCATTAACAATAGTTTGGCGATTTTTTTACGGTCCTCAAAATGGAATAGTACTGTTTTTTTTTCTTACGTGCAGAACGCCCATATAATCCAACTTCTCTGAGAACTCGTCGAACAGTTTAAGACGAAATCGAAGTAGAAAACTTTGCATTAAATGCTGCAGAAACTTTTACAGCACTCAAATGTGGGTTTTTCGCAAATTTTCTAATAATAAATCTCTCATCGTGTTTAGTTAACTTTCTCGGTCGACATTTTCTTACCTTGTTTTCAAACCGATTTTCTTCTTCAATACGTTTTATCACATACTGCACTGTAGAATGGGATAAATTAACTAATTTAGCGATATTTCAAATTGATTTAACACTACTGTGGTGAAAAATTATCAATTTTCGAATGTTGTATGTAATTTCTTTAGAACTGCGACCCATTTTTCAATAATAAATAGAATATTACAAAGTAAACAATAAAAAATTAAAGCAAACGATTTTTTAAATGCCACCACAATGCAAAAATTAAAAAAAGCAGCAAACGGTAATTCTAATTTTGATTTTATCCAAAAATATTTCAGTGTACAAAGACTTTTGTGAGATAAAATGTTTATCATTTTTTGATTATTAATTTCTTAAAAATAAAGTTTCGCTATATTTAAAAAATATTTCGTGTAATTTTGTTACAAATAGATCTTATTATTATTAATAGAATAGATCTTATTATTACGAATAGATCTTATTATTAAAAATCTCATTCAGAAAGTTTACTTTTAATTAATGGATAGAGTCCTATTTCAATGAAAATCATAAGTTACGAACACTTTTGGGAGCCACTGTATGTTCTTTCTTGCCCAAATGCTGCAATTGTTTGCATTTGCACTTCTATATTATTCCATATTGATATTTATTCCAAGTGCACCTTTTCAATCCATATGATGTTTGGACAGCCAGTCCACATCCTATTCCATCTGTTGGAAAGCCCAGTTTGAAAAATTTGTAATGCCTCTTGAAATCTTGAGTGCTAATCACAGATGCTTATATGAAATGTCAGTTTTCCAAGCTCCATAGAGGGCCACCTGTTTAGTAAAGATGTTACTATTTAGGCAATAAAATTTTCGTTATATATATATAAATTCTATGGACCTGCATCATGCTACTGTCTACAGTTTTTAAATTATTGAATTTTTACTTTTTCTGTTCATTGGTACTTAATAAATCAAAAACTCTTTTGGTCAATAATTATATCAAAATTAGGAAACCAAAACCTTAATCAACCACTGGAATGGATCATCAGTACTTAATAAAGCAAAAAGTCTTTCATTCAATGCATTAAAGCAAAAAGTCTTTCATTCAATTATATTAAAATTAAGAAACCAGAACCTTAATCAACAACTGGAAATAAATGGAACCATCAATTTTGCTGTCATAATGATGTAAAAAGGCACAAATATGCTCAAAAATGCACTTGTAGATTGCATCCATTAACCCCTTGAGGACCAGTGAGTGGAGAGCGAAGCGCAGCCCTTTGAAATGGAACACCACCACAGGCCGACACGTTTTCAGTAGTTAAGCCTACTTTTACAAAAAATTCATATTAAATCAGCATTTTAATATAATGACCTCAATTTTTGAAGTGATGTACATAATACACTAATTATTAATATGTATTAATATAAATAATATCTCATAAATAGAATAAATGAAACATGCGAAATACTAAAATTATAACTATAAGCATGAAAACAAATACTATATGCATGAAAACAAAGACTATACACATGAAAACAAAATTACAGATACAAAATGTAAAAGAAAATGAGGCAATAATTATCTGTAAGTTATTAAATTTCAATTTAATAATTCTGCTGTGAGTGGAATAATTCAAAATGAGAAATGACACAGAGGACAATGGTGTCTTTTTTTCGCTGAGCAAGTAAGATGCGTCATGCATCAGGAAAGTTGATATCTTTTCCCTTCTGTAATAATGCTATAAAGTAACTTTTTAATTAAGCAAGAAAGTCTTTGTTAAGTTTAAAATAAATATAAAAAGGGACAACTGGTATGAGTTTTTCCATTATGAAAGTTTGGCGACTTTACACCCGCTATAGTTAGCTAGATGCGTTTTCCCATATTCTCCCCCCCCCCCCGCAAAAGAAAAGAAACATTAAGCTCGATGCATTTCCCCATGTTCTAATAACTAAAAATGCAAAGAATAAAAACAAAGACAACAAAAAATTTATATTCCTAACAAAATAAATCAACAAAAAAAAAAAAAAAAAAAAAAAGGTATCCTTTAACTTAAAGAGCTGTGATTCCCAGTTTGTTTACACCAATAAATCTATGAAAACCAGAATCACAGAACAGAAACTGATGCTCATAGATGAAGGTCAAACGCCACATGACTTAACCGATGTGAAAACCGTTACTATTTAGCAACATCTATTGGCATTTCGTATATGCTGGGCTGTATAGATTGATTGGAGCTCTTTGCTGGGCTGGTAATGGTGGAACAGTTGTGCGGCGTATATGCGATGCTGGTCCTGAATGGATTAAGTTGATCTATGACAAGAATTGTTTTCCTGTAGTACTAAATGTGTTGAATCAGCCATGACTGCTAACATCTTTTATGCATTGCTACTTCTTGAATCATGCTATGCTGTATCAATAGTTTATAAATAATTTTAGTATAATTAAGATACAATAACACGCCAAACAGATATTAATTTAGAAGTTAAACAACAAAAATATTATGCTGATTTTTGTTGTTTGACTTCAAAATTAATTATAGTATAATTCATGAAAGAGAAGTAAGCAACATGTTGGCAAACAAGAGCAGATACACATGTCCAGGGTGAAAGCTTGGGACAGAATGATTTATGTTTTTCAATTAAACTTTATTCCTATTGATAAATTTTAAATTTTGACTCCCAAATTGAAATTATTGTATGCTGAACCATTGTATAATTATAGATATCATGAGCATTGTCTAAGAATCATACAGAGAACATCATATAAAGAGATGTATTATAAACAGTTACTATTTTTACTATAATGAAAATAGAAAATAACTAAATTAGAAGTTTATCTTACCTGTTTTTTTGTCTTGCATATATATTGCCTGTATATGATTTAAATGTTTTGCATCATAATTTAATTCACAGAATATTAAGTGACTTGTGTTTTAATACTACTTCTGTAGCAAGTGATACAGTTCTTAAAACATTTATAAAACATAAATCATTGAGTAGATAAGATTACTTCTGAATACTTTGCATATAAGTGGATTTGCTTTTAGAAAATTTAATATATGAATTTATTATTCAAATTTCTTGACTTAAGGTTATTCTAGTTTGGAATGTCCAGTACATTTGTATTTTTGTTACATTGTGCAGGGTGATAACTTAGCATAGAAAACCTGAAATTTGTACATATTGAATTCTTATAATTTTTTTTCTTGTTATTAAATTCATTCTCGTATTTTTTAGGTATACTTATCTCTTCAAAGGTTTGGAAGATTTGCATTTGGATGAAAGGATAATGCAGTTTCTTTCTATTGTAAACAACATGTTTTCTAGGAGCAAAAGGTACTCTTAAAGGGAAAAAGCCATAAATCTTTTTAGTTTTGTATTCACATTTATTCATAATCATTTAGATGCTAAAGCAGAAATGTTAGGGAGATTTTCTTTTAGTGTAGTAGTTCTGGACCTATGCTATAATAGTTATTCAGAATAGATAAATTTTAGGTTTCTTCCTTATTCTTATGGCAGCCCATTTTATAAACAGCACCAGATTATCGATAAATCATCTATAAATAGCTGGCAGTCCTAATATTGATTATTTATTATTTATAGTTTTTCTCATGATGAGAAGAGTTCCAAGTAAACTGTGTTATTGTATTTTCTTCTTTTTTCATATAGATATTAATAATTCAAGATTGCTTAGAATTTTTTCTTTATGAGAAGAGCTCCGAATATTTCATGTGTTAAAGTATTTAAAATGTTTGGTTTAAAGACATCAAGAAAGTACTATATCTTTCTTCTAAAAAAAGATGCATTTTACCTGTCATCCAGTTTTGTGAAAATTGCCATAAAATAAAGCTACATATCATTCAAAGCATTTGGAGGAATAACGTGAAAAGTTGCAAGTGAATCTGAAACATTTATTTTGACAATTGGTTCAGTGGTTTCAAAATACAATTTTTAACAGCACAATTGTAGGGCTGAAGAACTGATGCCGATTAACTGGTAAGAAAAGCAACTCAGCTTTTGTGAAAATATAACTATTGACTGGAGCAGTTTTATAAGAGAGGTGTATTCTGGTGCTTAAATAAAACATCTAATCTGAAAAACAAGTGAATAGGTGGACTCTGAAAAAATTGTGGTTAAAAAATTAAAATTTCTTAGTATGGGGGAGGAACAAAATGGGCAGGGTTCTTCGGATGTTTGGCAGATAATGCCGAGAAATTAACGAGTCTTTCCTTGTTTCTACACTTAGAGCAAAAATCATTAACAAGAGGGATATAGAATTTATTCAGACTGTTAACAAGCATCTAAAATGGAGGAACTAGAAAAAGCAGATTAAGGGTCATCTACTGTTAACCATAAATTTCATTTAGTTGATCCAACAACAGCTGTGTGTATGCAGAATGTTGACTAACTGGTGTTCCACTAAGTGGCAGAATAAAAATCAAAGAGAATCAGTTTAGCATCATTATGTCAATTCCGCAAGATCAGTATTATCTTGGGAATTCATATAATAAAAGCCCTCTATACAAAAAAAGTGCTTCTGATGCCATATGAAAAGCCTTCGTAGAAAGATGACAGCTACCAACTATATTTGAGAAGCAAACATGAACTTAGCAATAATCCTGGAGCCAATTTGCTGTTAAAAAAATAGGGGGCCATAAATAATAAAAATGTATGAAGTGGAATATGTATTAATAGCCTTTTGTTTTAGCCTTTAAAAATTAAAAATTTTCAAAACATGTTAATTCAGTTTCTTGTAATTAACAGTTGGTACTTATTTACTATTTATCATAAATGAAGTTCTCTAAGTATGTTTTAATTTTTGTATTTATCAAAAAAGTATGAATTGTTTAATATTATAGCATTTGTCTATATTCTTGTGAAGAGACTACGGAGTTGAAATGTTGGAGATTAATATTCATTCATATATCTGGATGCTAAAATTTTTTAAGCATATGCTTTTTTATGCTCAATTATTAACAATGTAAAGTCATAAAAAAATAAAATAAAAAAAAAAATAATAATAATAACATAAAAAAAATCTGCTGAAATCGGTCATTTTGTTTAATTTTGTGAATAAATTTTAAATTCTTGTTACTCACTTTTTTCCCTTTTCAGCTTGAAAAATATTAAGCCTAGCATTTAGAAAAATATAAGTTTTAACTTAAAAAGTATAAAGTTGAGGAAGTCTGTTATATTTACTTTGAACTACATCAGTTTCATTGATATATTGCGTAAAATTTCTACAGTTTTCAAAATAGGTTGCTAGAAGCCTGTCAGAAAATTTACTGATGAGTGACTTGAATAAAAATAGATTTTACAATAATATTGCTTGTCATAAGTGAAAGAATATGCGTGGAAAATAGCAGAATAGGAAAATTTGAGAAGATAAACTTAACATATCCCTTTTCCATAAGTTCATTACAGATTGGCTACTTAAAAACAATTTTTATCCTACCCCCCAATCAAAATCACTCTTTTTTCTGCGAGTATAAGCGTATCTTTGTTACTTTTATCTGTTTATTGCGTCTTTGTTATTATATCTAACACTAAAAATAGCAAAGTAATGCCAAAAATTAAAGATCTGGCTTCGAAATTGATTTTCTTTTTATTATGTAATTTCCTTATATATCATAAATGAAGTTCTCTAAGTATGTTTTAATTTTTTTGTCATTTTCTGTTTGCCAGTTTAGTGGTGTACATTATTTAAATTTTTGTCTTTGACATTTCATTTATAATTTGCTTTTCATATAATCCTCTTTTTATTAGACATGGAAAAGAAGTGTATTATGCTCGACATTATTCTGTGACGCCACTTGGACCTCGTTCAGGTCTCATTCAGTGGGTTGATGGTGCAACACCACTCTTTGGCCTCTACAAAAGGTGGCAACAAAGGGAAGCAAATTCTGCAGCTGTTAAAGGACAGGTTGTAATTTTATTTAGTTTGACTTTTTAACATTGTGCATGTGAGTCTAAATGTAAAATTGCATTTTTCATGGTTGATCCAATTTTATTTAGTGTTATACGTTGAAATGTTAAATAAACATACAGCCTCTCGATTAAATTTCTTTGACACCAACTACTCCAAAAATGCAATATATTCATATATAATGAATGAATGGGAAGAAATTGTCAGTTTATTAAAATGATTAATGAATGATACACCTTTATAAATAGCTAAATAGTCCAAGAATTTAATCTTTGTGTTTCTTCCTTTCCCTTTTGGAGGAGGGGGGGTGAGAAGTCTAAAGCAGTAATCATTGAACAGAAGCTTGTTACAGTTGCACAACTGTGACCTGAGCTATTCAGTTAACCAATTGAACTGAAGCGTCAACCATTTAATATTCTGTCTATAGGATTGCTCAAGGGAGTGAATTTAAGCACTTGCAGAAGATTCAAGAAAAATGCATTTTTCGGTATATTTGATAATAATAAATAAAATTTTCTAGATTTGTAGTATAATTTTCCAGACATCAGAGTTCGGTAGAGTGATTTTTTCCCATAATCGTGATTCTAATTGGTATTACATTTTCAAATGTCAATTCAGAACTGCGAGATCTGCAAGATAATACATGAAATAAACATTCACAATAAGTGCCCACAAATTCTTTTAAACAAAATAATAACAATAAAATATTACATAAAATATGCTAAACATAAAAAATGCAGAATATTAAAAATGTATACAAAACCTAAATTAAAAACAAATAAACACAAATGTTTACAAAAAGTTTCACTGCATATGGAGATATCCAAGACATGTTTCTCAGGATATTGCGTATAATGCACACTTTTAGTGAGTTGTATATCTGCAGGTGCAATGTTCATGCTAATAAATTAGCTGTAGCAAATATAGGCTAGACTTCAAATTTTCAAAAAATTCTGCTATTTTGCCTTTCTGAAAATTATGATGGAATATAAACTGTGTTCATAATGCTAAAATTTAATCATTTTTAAATTAGGAAATTTTCTTTTTCTAATATGTCTTAACTGTGCTACATAGAAGTATCTTGCGATGTGCGTGTTAAAAATGAAGGTTGCTGTAAATAATTTACTAAATGCAGCTCAAAATTGGAAATGTGCATAGGGTGCTTGTATCTAAAACCAACTGTTTGTAAGATTCATATGTATTTTGAAATGTGTATTTAATTAGTTTATTTTTTATGTGCATAAACTAATACAATCCAATATTTAAAAAAAAAATTACTGAGCATATCATTTCTTTTTTGGCTTTAAAATATAATTTTATTAAAATTTTCATTCAGTTTTTGTTTTATAGAATTCTAGTGGAAATGTGGGTGTTGTTCTCCGTCCTTCTGAAATTTATTACAATAAACTGACTCCACTTTTGAAAGAAAAAGTAAGCGTTACAAGGCTGAGTCCTGTTACAGTCTATTCTTTGAATAATTAAAATATCAGTACAATATTGTAAATTAAATAGTGATAGAATAATTCATAGCATAAAGGTTTGAATGTGTTTATGTAACAATTAATGGCCAAATATTTATAAAAGTAATACAGTACAAAGTTTGAAATCCGCACCTCAAAACCAACAAAAATGTTTTTCTTGTATGCTTTAAGCATGCGCATTTGATTCCCTCCTTGCACATAATAAAACATCTGGAGATTTCTGATTCTTAATTTCTCTTAGATACTAAATAAAATACCTTATTATTGAAAAAACAATCATTTTAGCATAAATTTGTACAATCAGTAATTTGGCTATGTTGCTGCGTATCTACTTGGCACACATCTCAAACCGAAACATTCCACATGGATACATCGATGATTGACGCCACCTGGCGATCATTATTATGTACCTTCCTTTCATCAACCGCATGTTACAACATGACACTTGAGTATGACTCATGTATTATGCCTAACATTTTTTTTTTATGTTAGTGAATAGCATAAAAGAGTATAGTAACCTTTAGGTTGACATTGCTTGCGATGATTACGATTTAAGTTAAATGCCCTAAACATGTGACGACAATTTACCAAAAATTTTTTCCTGTGCTAAAATAGATTTTGTTGATGATACTCATAGACCCAAGATTACATTTAGGGCTATTTGAATTAATAACTGATTTGTTATTCACAAACTCAGACCATGCTAGGGGCTCGGGCCGCATCGAGTCGCAGAATTTAGGACCCCACAAGACTAATCCGGCGTAAGATATCTAGAGCCGGTTCCTCATAAGGCTTAAGTATAGTGGACTTTATCAGAACTCTGATAAGCCTTAACATGTGCAAGAAAATAGACATAAGTAAATAAATAACTAAACTATACAGTTCCAGGCTTAATTGTCTCAGTTTCGTTAGAGCAATGGAAAATTTAACACAACACTTGTCGTAGTCGCCAAGCTGATGATGCAAACCAAATGATAGTGAAGGATAGCTAAATTTGATGATGATAGGCACTAATTTTAAAGGTTTGATATCTTTAAAAAGGGGAACTTTTCCAATAACAGATTTGTAAAGAAATAGAGAAGCGGTAAAATGAATGATATAAAGAGTTTTTTCATTGCGGACAAGGTGCTCAATCATCAGTCATTAAAAATAAATCTGTAGTATGGTGTAATCCAAAATATGCTACTGAAAGAAATTTCGGTACCAGAAAATTTCGATTGACAAATTAGTCGGAATTTCGAAACGGCTGTTACAGGACTCACATGTAGCTAAACAAAAGGGATGTCTTGTCTTTTTACAGATTAATTAAAGCAAGTATTAGCCCAAAAAACAAAGCAAACTTAAACAACTTAGATTGAAAAATATTCAATAAGGTAAACAATAAATATAAGCGTTTTTTTTTTTTTTTGTTTTTTTTTTTTGTAATTTGGATACCCTTTAGATAAAATCATGATTTCATATTTTAATTTTATTCTACTTATTTTATTATAATAATTTTATAATTTCAAATTAAGTCCGGATTTCTGACTTTGTACTGTATACACAGTTCATTATCTTTTCTTTGTCTGTTAGTACATCACAAAATCGATAAAATTGAGGCTTGTTAAAAAAAAAATTGAAAACTATTGGCATTTTTATTCATGCAGTTAATTTCAGATCATGTTATTCTTGGTAGTACATAATTTTGCTCCAGAATTCACTAGGATTTAAGTGGTATTATCCTCTTCGTTTAATTTATACATTTCTTAAAGTTTCATCTTGTATTGTGTACGTTTGTTGTAATTCAAAATCAGCAGTTTTCAAGATTTGCTTTGAAAATTTAATGCAAAATGAATAATAATTAAAAACCTGAAGTATGCTTATTTACTGGAGCCACAGTGCATATGTGAAATAGAAAAATACAGATAGGATTTAAGGCTAGGAGGATGCCTCCTTCCCCCGTAGCTGAAATATATATTTAATCCTTGTGGAAGTGAATGAATTTAAGTTTATAGTCTTTTATTCCAATAAAAAAAAAAAAAAAAAGCTTGGACAGAAACAATTTTTCACCATGAAAAAAGTACATATATACATACATAAGAATACACATGATGCATAATTTACTCAAAATAATAATAAAACAAACTAATGCCAGAATTAAGCACCGTAGGTTTTTATTTTTGTTTGGAAAGATGTACATGCTTATTTAGTCTACTTTTAGAAAATAGCCTTAAATGTAATGCTCGCATGCAGAAAATGTCAGGGCTAATCATACATTTATGCGTTTTCAAATGTTTAGCAACATAAGCATTTCTCAAATACTGTCTTCAATCAGCATAAATATATTACCATACAACCTTATATCAATTATTGTTATTGATAGTGCATACTCAGTTTCTGTTTTTATTGCAGATTCATAATTTTTATTTTAAATTACACATTGAAAATTCATGAAAGAACTTTATTTCCCTGTATTTTTTTTAAAAAAAGATGTATTCTTGTATTAATAAAATAAATAGTGCTATAAAATTCATATAATAAGATCATTAATAAAGGAAGCTACATACAGCTAAAATACATGTATCACTGGAAAAAAAAAAAAAAAAGGATTTGCAAAAATGATTTCTAACCTTGTTAATTTTTTCTTTTATTTTTTTATCGATTTGTTGGAATTAGTATTCATGATTTCAGTACATTATTAAGTTATATTGTTGATGCACAATATAATGAATGGCCTCTTGCATTGTCTTACAGAAAATGAATATTATAGCTAATGGTTGCTATAGCAGTAATAGATCTAATATACTCTCATTAGCTAGATCTTTTGTATCAATCTTGTAATTATTATTATAGTGAGAGTCAACTCTATTTATTAATTATTAACAATCTTATGTAGTCATCTGTTTTCTGTGTTTAAAAAATTTAATTTGACTGGGCATGTTTTTAATTATATATTATCTCTTATTTGATTTTAATTCTAATTCCTGCCAGGTGAATGAAATTTTAAAATTGCTGAAATTTAATGAAGCTTTTTTTAGTATTTCTTATATTTTCATTTTTTTTATACGAGACCTTTATGATGTAAAGCTTTTTGGCAGTTGATTTAAATTTTAAATAATGTATTTTTAGAATTTAAATTGTTTGGATAATCGCAAAGAGTGGCCTTTGTCAGTGTTACTGGAAGTTCTAAATCAACTTATGGAGGAAACTCCAAATAATTTACTTGCAAAGTAAGTTTTTTGTTTTCGTTGTGTTTCGGTTATATATTTTCTATAGGTTATCCTTTTTGGAGTTCTTTTTCTTTGTACATTGTTCAGTGAATGAAATTCAAATATTTGAATATTACAGAGAACTTTGGTGCTCCTGCAGCAGTGCTCTTGAATGGTGGAATGTTACTCAAACTTATAATCATTCTACAGCTGTGATGTCTATCATAGGCTATATAATTGGTTTAGGTGATCGTCATTTAGACAATGTTCTTGTGGATCTTTCTACAGGAGAGGTAAAAAATTGAATGCTTTTCTGATTGATATTTTAATATTATGCTTTTTTTATTATTTTTCATTAATGTGAACATTTAAAAATCTTTCATTATATTTTTAATTAATTGTTTTTTAGTCTGTGATACTCTTTTTTTTTTTCTTAATAGGTAGTTCACATTGATTATAATGTTTGCTTTGAAAAAGGAAAAAATCTTAGAGTTCCTGAAAAAGTTCCTTTTAGAATGACACCAAATATTAGGACAGCTTTAGGTCTTACTGGAGTTGAAGTAAGAAATGAGTTTTTGTTTAATTTTTGAATAACTTTATATTGATTTTTATTTTATGAAAAGATACTTGATATGTCATACCTTCAATTTTTCACGAATTTTTTGTAATTTTAGAAATGCGTTGTCTTACGATTACGATCGTATCCTTTTTTTATGACTTTTTTCCGTTTTCAAGTGTTTTAGAGTATTTTTCGAAATTTCAGAATTTTCGCCAATGCCTCGCGATTTTCCCATGGGCATCGTGTTTTACGCCAACTACCGACTACTTCGAATCCAGTAACTTGTGGTTTCTCCACTCGCCACTCACCAGCCATCTATGCGCTAACTTGTCTCTCACCTTTTCTTTGTGGAGCCGAATTACACTTTTTGGAATTGTAATTCTTGAAGATCATGAAAAAAGATTTTTTCAGTGTTTCGAATACTTTTTCTCAGCCTGTGTTAAATTGTAAGGAAGTTTCCTTGCAAAATAAATCTTTTATGCTGAAGTGGCAAATTTGAAACAAATTGAAAATTCATCTTGAAAATATTCGTTTTTTTATTGATAAATTTCCATTTTTGTTAACAATTAAAGAAATGAATGCCATAATGATGCTTATTAGTAAGAAACCAATTTTTCTGCTGTGCACAGTTTTGAAGACTTTGCCAGTTCTTAGAAATAGACTTAATGTCCTCGTGTACCTTAAAAAGAATAAAAAGAGCTGATGGAACACCAAAATATGATAGACTAGCAAGAGGTTTATGTGCGATTCTCGTAATCCCACACAGTAATGCTGATGCGAGAGAGTCTTCAGTGTTGTGAAGAAAACAAACTATGTTCGTTCTTCAATTTCACCAAAAACTCTAGAAAAATTTTATTGCTAAATGTTATGAGAAACAAATTGTTATGACAGGAAATTTTTCCAAAAATTTTGCTCAGCAAAAATGCACTAAATTCATTGCATCATTTTTTTTGTGTAACATTAAGTCTGTTTTTGTTTCCTAAAATTTTTAGTTATACTTGTTTGAGATTTACTAATGTAAGTACAATTTTTTTTTTCTATTTGTATAATTGTTATTTTTTTAATATCAAAGGTGATATTAATTCTTCATGTTCTTCTGAATTTGGGGGAGAAATCTTCTGAATTTTTATCTTTAGAGGTTGGCAGGTATGATATGTGCAAAAGAATTTTGAGGAGTAAACATATCATTACTAAATCTCAAGTCTTGGTTTATCACAATTTATTTTTATTTTATTTATTTTTTAATGCTGTGCTATAATTTAATGCCGTGTATAAAGAGTAAAGGATATGGTCTTGGCAAGAAAGAAATGGTTACTGACGCACACAATGAGTTCATTCATTGTTTACCATATCAATTTATTCAGAAAGAATTTAATAGAAATTTTATTTATTATTTTATTTTATAAAATTTTGTAAGCTCTTGTTTAAATAAATGTATAGAAATGTACCCAAAATTCATTTTAAATTGACACCTTTGTGATGGCAACAGTTACATAATTGCTACTGCTAATGTGTCACACATTATTATGAAAAATCTAATGGTATTATTTTATAGAAAAGCTATTGCTATATAAAAATATTGCTATAAACTGTGCTTGGTAGGACTCCAGGTGATGGTGAGTTGTTACTCTGTGGTTTTTCTTCTGACACTTTTCTGATCTCCATAAAGATAAAAGATTGAGAATATTAAGTACACTAAATATTTAGCAGGGGAAAACTGAAAAATTTTTCAAGAGCTGAAGAAACATAAACCCTGTATACATATGCAGATTGATAACCATCTCTTTCTCACCAAGGCGGAAACATGCCATTGCCATTAAGGCCACTGTAACACAAAAGTACTGAAATAAATTTTTATAGACTGTTGAGAGTATTTTTGCTAAATATGCTAAAAGTTTTGCAGCTTTTATTTGTAACATTGTTTTGAAGTAAATTTATAAAGACTTTTTTATATAGCAATCAGTTTAAAAATATGTACTTTACGTGCGCAAACCCTAAACTGTATAACAAGTTTAAAATTATTTTATCTGAAAATTTAGGGAGTATTCAGAACATCTTGTGAGCATGTACTAAAAGTCTTGAGAAGAGGCCGTGAAACACTGCTGACTTTGCTTGAAGCATTTGTGTATGATCCTTTAGTTGATTGGACACCTGGCAGTGAAGGAGGTTACACAGGTGCTGTTTATGGAGGAAGACAAGCATGGGCCATTGAAGCTAAGCAGACACGTCAAAGCATGGAAATGGATATTGCATTATCTATGTTTGCTATTCGTGTTGCAGAAATGAAAGGGGAATGGCTGAAAAATAGGTATAAAAATGATTTTGCATATATTTCAAAAGTTTTATGAGAGTTATGTCAGAACATATTCCTCCGTTTAATGTGCTATAGAAATAATTGTTACGTATTGTGTTAGCCTTAATGCAGTTTTAACTTTTAAAAGTTCAGCATGAAATAGTTTAAAAACTGTCTTGTTCATATTTTATTACTTAATTCCTATAAATTATTGAATAGAGATGGGCAAAACCACTCCTTTAAGGGATCAGATCAGAACTCTTCACTTACTGAAGTAAATCGTTGAAAACTTTTAAAACGTCTGTTGCCAGTTTCATAATATTCTAATCTTTATCTGACAAATTAAATGATTTTTCACCTAATATAGCAAGGGAAGAAATTATAGATTCATTGAAATATATATATATATATCAATCATAGGTAGAATTCCTCTTAGTAGGTACATCTTGTTTCAATTTGAGTTTCTCTTGCATTTCAGCAAGTTTGCTTAAAGTGAATGATTTTTTTTTTAATACATCACTATCCGTTTAATTAAGTTTCCCATATTGGCAACCTATTAGCATGTTGCAAAATCAGGTTTATTGAATGTGCAAAGCATGGCTGGTAAAAATGGTAGAATGATGGTCTTTGTAATAGTAGATTTGAAGTACTGTCAGTGACTATGGCTGCAATTTTCAAATGTAAATAAAATTTTCTTGCAACAGCTTTGACTTAACTGGAAATATTTTTCATAATTTGCCTACCTAGAAATTTTGAGTATTCTAATAGATATGGTTTTAATTTAGAGCTTTTGTCTTTAAAGTGTACTGTAAGAGCATAGAAACAACAAATATTTATCTACCTGGGTCAGAAGTCAAATAGCTTTTGCACTGGTCAAATCATATTTAATGTTAAGTACCAGTTCATTATAAAGACTGAGCAGTAACAAATTTGATAAAGTTTTTCTATTTGGCAAATTTTAATTTAAGTATGTGAATGGACTTTTTAAAATCCACATCTTAAACTACAGAAAATGAGTGGTATTCATAGCATACCATTTTTAAAAGCTGCAAGCTTTTAAAAATTAATTAAGCTGCAAGCTGTATTTCTACTTGATGTGATTGGGTTTCTTACATTAATGAATTTATTTTTAGACCATCTTAAAGCAGCCAGAGGTGAAGAAAATCTCCATCTGGATCCAAATTCAGAGCGCACTGAGATGGAAATTCAATCAAATCTTGCACTGAGGTCTTCATCTGAAGAAAGTAACAAAAAAGAAAGTATTGTCTTTGGTTGAAAGAAAAACCAAAGCCAATACTTGAGAATAATGAGAAAGGATTTCCATAACTTCAGCTGCAGTATCATTTTCAGTTGATGGCAGCCTTGGGTGACTTTCTAATCCTGAACCTTCAAATGTCAGTGTCAGGTATATTCCCTGACACTTGCATTTTTAGATTGGAGGCATATCCTGAAAAACAGGAAATTGTCTGCTGTTCCACACCGGCATTTGCCTTTTTAATCTAATTTGGCAGAATGACACCAAATATCGCTCAAGGTTCTTCTGTGTGGTAGGATTGACATTTTGTTCTACAAACTTGAAAAAATACATTAGATGGAAAAATTTGTGTTTATTAAATATGTACTAATTCTAAAGAAGATTAAGGAATAGCTCACAGCTCATGACTGACTATAAGATGTTATTAAAATAAGTAAATAAATAAAAATATAGTTTTACTTAAATGGTATAATAATACTGTATAAAAATTATAATAAATAATATGCATACCAATACTATACACAGCATTTGAAGAATCAAAACAATACTCAAAGGAAGAGCTCTGAACCAAGAAACCCAAACTGAAGAAAGCAAGAGCAAATAATCAAGACTGTGCAGGAGTCAGTTCTGCAGCTAAAGAATAAGCACCAGAGCAATGAAAAAAGTGTGTTATCAAGACTCCAAAGAAGACAGATTTGTGGCTAGAGAAGGATTGCTGTGTTGATGAAAAGAGCAAATAATCAAGACTCCAAATGAGGCCAGAGAAGGAGCAATGACATCTAGAGTTCTGAGGAAACTAAAATACCTATAGTCTACTTACTTTAAGCAGATCCTTGCAATGCCAGATGGGGGAAAACTCAATCCATTTTCAAAAAAGGATTGGTCAGTTTTGCTAAGATGCACTGCATTTAGATTTTTATTTAATGTTTTGTTTTTTAAATACTAGGTTGAACACAAACAAATTAAAAGCATACATATATACCTATGTAACACACATATGCAAATAAAAAAAGTCCGAGACTTTTCTGGCAAATAATAAGGAAAGAATGTTAGTGTTTTCATAAGAGGAATAAAATTTTTTGGCATGCTTTCCAACAAGAGTTTTTTGTGAACTGTAAAGAGCCTTTCTTACTGGGATTTATCTGAGCTAACAGGTTCAGTTCCATGTGTCTGGTCAGTTCCATGTGTCAACTAGCTCCACTATGTCTGCAGTTCAGATTTTTCAACTTGCAGCCCTATGGGATAAAACTGGTTGTGGAGATGAGTCAGCTACGTTAGCTCAGATAAACCCCAGTGGGAACTGCCCTTAAAAGAACTACTGTTCTGTTTTTGCTGGATTGCTGGTCATTGTCTTAATAAAGTTAATTGGTTCTTTAAATCATTCAGAGTTTGATGAAAGGATCATCAAACTCTGTTATCCCTCAGCTGGAGGGGCTGGCATATGGTACAATTTTAGAGGGGCGGCGTATGAAGTATGCCAGGTTGTTTTTCGAGCCTCTGCTTCGTGTTTGAAACTATTTAATCTTATACATGGCATTAATACCGTGATTCGTCATAGTAAAAATTATATAAAAAAAGAAGAAGAAAAAAAAGCAGTAGATGGAAATTACGAATTTTTAATTCAAAAAATGGAATGCACTGGAAATGTAATTTAAAGTTGTATTCTGTATGAAAATTATAAAATCATAAATCAAATTTACAAATTATAAATATTCCTTAAAGAAAATTTTGTTAAGTAATAAATTTCACAAATGAAAAAATGTAAAACCTTTTGCTACTTTAATCCTCTTCAAATTGTCCCTGGTCAATGCAGCAGGGTTTGCAAAGTTGTACCGTCTTGCCCAGATGATTTTTGCATTTGAACTTAGAACACTCAGAACATTTTATGGCAGTGTAATTATTCTTCATTCTACAGCATTCAGAGCAGTGTCCTTTGATCTTTTTTGCAGGTGGTTCCTCGTTCCTTTCGGCCATTTTGTCTGCTTCTGTTGTTACCAGCCTTCTAATTTTAATTAATTAGAAGGCCTTAAATCTGTTGTTACCAGCTTTGGAATGCGACAGGAGAAATGGCATTTTCAGACGATTTTGAAGATATGTTTTCATCAAAGGTGTAGCTAGATTTTTCAGAAAATATCTTCTAAACTTGATGGTTGCATCTGGTATGGTGAAGTTCAAGAGCATTTGCGAATTTATGCCCTCTGCGTTTATCATTGCAAAAAATATTGCCATTGTCCACCTCTTGGTTTTTCGGGTGACAGTGAAATTACTACAAAGTTGGTCGACGGTGTTAACTCCGCCTTTACATTTGTTATAATCCAGGATTATGTGAGATTTATTCGTTTCCTGGTCAATTTAGTCATCATCGTGTAGAGTACTGAGCAGTATTACACACTTAATTTTTTTCGTTGCATATGAAACAATTTTCATATCCTTTTGAAAACAAAACAGTGAACTGCCGACTTCTCTTGTTTTTGGAATTGTTTTGTTCTCTTGTTTTTGGATTCATTTGGAATTTCTTTTTTATTTATTTTTTTTTTCCAGCGTGCCTATAAGTGTTATACCTTTGGTAAGAAAATATTGAGCTAGCGGGTATCTTCTATACTAATTAACGGTCATTAGGTTACGGTTGGAACCTTTGTACGCACCAATTAGCCTTTTGACAATGTCAATACTTGAATTAGAAGCCTCATAAGGTCCTGTGGGTTGATTGCCACAATAAATTTAAAGCTTCAATGTATAAAATGTTCGTGAGTCAACAACTGGAAAAATTTTCAGACTGGACTTTGCGGGCTTGTTGGGGATGAATTGAATAAAAGAGCATCTCCCACGAAAGGGTTCCAACTTCTCGTCGATTGTGAGTTTGTCACCTGGTATATAAAAGTTTTGACAGTTCTGATTGAAAGATTCAAAAAATTCTCTTAGTGCAGCAAGCTTATCAGTTTTTCTTCGCACATACCTTGTGCCTTTATCAACGAATCTAATAGCAGCATATAGGTTTCTGAATCTCTTGAGATCCATGACCCCTTGAAAATTTCAATTCCAGTACCGTCTTTTGCCCATGCTTCTCCTGGCAAATTGAGTTTTGATTTTTTTGTTTGGTTTTTTTTTTTTTTTTTTTTTGTTTTTTTTTTTTTTTTTTTTTTTTTTTTTTTTTTTTTTTTTTTTTTTTTTTTTTTTTTTTTTTTTTTTTTTTTTGTTTTTTTGTTTTTTTTTTTTTTTTTTTTTTTTTTTTTTTTTTTTTTTTTTTTTTTTTTTTTTTTTTTTTTTTTTTTTTTTTTCCATCCTAAGAATAAAATTCCTAAAAAGGCCAACATTTCTGCTCTATTAGTATCATACATGCTTCTCTTTGAGATGTTTTGGAGATAATCTGCAGTCCTGTTACATTTAAGATAAATATTTGTATATTGTACGATAGCATTAATTATATTTCTATTTATGATTTTCTGGAAAGCAGAAAGCTCATCATTTATATCTTCAGAAGTTTTGGCACTTTTTTCATCAAATTTTTTGGAGGCGTTATGGCGAATTTGCTCTTCAGGGGAACTTTATTCCACTTATAAGTTTCCTTTTCTTCTTTCAGAAACTTTCCTCCAACTTTCTTCTTTTTGTAAATTGATATTACAAAAAAGTCCTCATATTTTTAAATCACTCATATCATTTTCAACATCACTAAAATCATTATTTGTTTGGGAGACATCATTTGAGGAAGGAAAATGAGGATGTTTAGAAACATTTCCCTCAATTTCTTAGTCACTTTCATGATCAGAATGTTCGATGACTTCCGATTCATCGACATCAGATGCGTTATCCAAATTGTTGGAGTCTTCATCAACCGAGACCTCTAAAAAGCACAAATAATCTTCAGGGGGTACAATATTCCTTCTGTACATACTTGGAGGAGCGGCGTACTGCGTTCGCCTACACGACATGTTCACAATAAGTATGTTTGGAAGGAAGGTGAAAACCAGACTCACTAGAAATACCAGATGCATTGCACTTATGGAATGTTTCTAGGAGGTTAGAGAAAGGGAGGAAGCTTGGGAAAGAGTTGTCTAAAAATGACAGCCCCAAATTTTGCATTGGCGTACTCTGTACCATGGAGGTAGGAAGTAAGATGGAGTAGCCCTAAACAAGTTTCTCTGTACCCTGCTCTGAAGCACCGGCGATCCCTAAGTGGTGACCAAGACATTGAGTCATTTACCATTGTGTTCTATGGGATTTGACGCATTCGGGTGTAAATATTTTGTAATTACGTAGCAAATATACATATAATATATATTTTCTTTTTTCTACAACACTTCAGAGTCCTAAGTATGTGAAAACAACATATTTTTAAACAACATTTCATTCTGAACGGAATTAAATGCTATACTTTTCACAGGACAGTTTTTTCTCAGAATGGTTTAATTTGAATGAAATATTTTCACAAGTTTTTCGTTAATTACATTAGAAAAAAAAAATTAAGGTAATTCGATTTTATTCGTTTTATTCGGTTAAGGTACAAAAATTAAGATCAAAGTTTATTGTATTATTAATATTAAAATTATGCATTATTTCTTTTCTATTTATAGAGCTTCTTCCTAAAATACTTTCTTAAATATGACATGATTTTTTGGCTTCTTTTAAATCGAAAAATGTAAGTCAATTTATAATTAATGCTCTATTCGGTTCATTTTAAATTAGAGAATTATAGGAATTAGCGAAATACTTTAAATAAGTATTTCGCTAATTCCTAATAATTAAATAGGTATTAAATTGTATTTGACTTTCCCTGAACATTTCTGAAAGGGAATAAATAAGTTTTTTTTTTTTTTTTTTTTTTTTTTTATTTTTTTTTTAAGTATTATTTAAAACTTGTAACTGAGTTATAAAATGTAAAGGGAATAATTCTTTTAATTATATACTTATCAGATTTTTTTTTTTTTTTTTTTTTTTTTTTTTTTTTTTTTACCCTTCATTTCAACAATACATATTCCAAAACTCTTTATTACGTTCTTAAGTGCGCATCTCATAGCATTTGCTTTACAATACCTTTTAACAGATTGCTTTCCAATACGAACAATTCTTGCTTAAATAGTTTTATAACGTATTTGTCAACAGGATTTCAATTTATGTTTACAATTCAATATTAAGGTTATTATATATTTAGATAACATTTATAATCATTATAAATTAGATACATTTAATCATTAGATTTCTTCACAGTACTTTCACAGTTGTTTATAAGTGAATAAATTCTTCATTTCAAATACATTTATAAATAATTTAATGAATATTTAAGTATTTTGTCAAAGGCAGATACATGCTTTTTGCAAGCACATGCATAAATACCCATACATATTTCCTATTTATCATTTCCGGCATGTGCAAATCTTTAATTTCTGTGCATTCACTATATTTTTCGTGTAAAGTAATTTACACTAATTTAGCATACACCCGAAAGTTTTACATAAAAAATATATATGAATATAATTTGAATGAAAATTATAAGTATTATTTTTTTTTACCCTTAATACCCACTCAAAGGTCAGTTTTTCTTCAAAATTCCTCCACGATGGCATCTCTCTCTTTAGGCAGATAGCCCTTGCATGCGTTACTCTATTTAATAAAAACTTAATCTGACCTATGTGCCTAATTACAAATATTTTAACATACATACATAATTTTATATTTACATTTAGCCATCAAGTTTCAAACTTTTCAAATCTTCTAGAAAATAAATTTTGGCAGATCTCTTTTTAGCAATTTTCTTAAAATCTATATTTTTTTGTAGTGCAACAGCTTAGAATTTTTATAAAACAAATTCATAATCAAAATCGCTGTTGTTAGTTATCGAAAAATAACCAAGATGTGATTTTTGCGTAAATGTCAGTAAACTATACAAATTGCTATTATCCATCACACTATGAATGTTTCTTTCATGCGAGAGTGTCCCTTTTTCGATTTCTGTGGAACTGTCGTGTGTCGAAATACTATCAGAATCTTGTCAAGCAAGCTTCTGAATGTAAACAAAGAACACCCCGTCTGGTGACCCAAGCTTGAAAGCAGTGCTTCACTTCTAGCGCGGAATGGCCCCTCCTCCCTTTCCTACCTCCATGGTCTGTACCCCGGCTCCTCCATTGCAGGGTTATTGAATATAATACTTTTTTAAATTTTATTATAAATTGTTGACAAAAACTAATTGATACTATTAAAGTATAAAGCAACTGAATATTGACCTTTTTTTTGTCTTTTTTGCAGTCTATTCATTGTCAATTAAGTGAAGTTTTTGTGTTACAAGCATTGATTTTGTATAGAATTTCTAGAACAGTTTTTTTTTTGTTTGTAACAATAATTAATAAATTAAAATCAATTATATGCTTGACTCATTTGTGATATTAGTTTTCTGTTCAAATTGCCTGATTTTTTTTATCTGTCTCATTATGTATACTATTTTTTTTTTAGTAATACTTTTCCAGAATTCTTGCTTTAACATACTGGTGAAATTTTTATGTTCAAGATTGAAAATAATAAAAAGGATAAAAACTACTAATTTTTTCTCATTAGTTTTTTTTTAAATTTGTTATTGATCAGTAGAGGGATTTGGAATCTCTAGAAATATCTTCAAATTATTCATTAGTCTATTTTCAGCTGTAAAAGAAATGCTTTTTCATTGTTCATGTGTTTTAGTTGGCTAATTTGCCTAATAAATATTTTAGGGATGAGCTGCTCTCAGCATTTCCAAAGCTAGAAAATTTTCTTCAGGACTGGAAAAAGGCTCAGCATCAACTTCAGATTGCTGAAACTGAACTTCAGGATGCTTGCCAAGAAAAGGCTCTTTTAGAAGAAGCTTTAGCTAATCCAAATCATAGTTTATATACAGTTCCAAAAAGGTATTCAAATTTATAGTTAAAAAAAATTAATAACAATTTTGAGGATATTATTTATGTTAAAATTTTTTTTATCTCTTTAACCTTTTTAAATTTGATGTGTGTTTTATGTGTATCACATACTTTAAGAAAAATGTTTGAAGAAGCAAATATTTTAATGAAATTGTTCATGTCTTATTGTATAATAAATAAGTTGAAGCATTGTATAATGATTTGAAGTGCAAAATATTATTGGTATACTATCTATCATATAGTTTAGAATAGTGGTTTAAGTTTAACAGGGCATTTCTTAAGGTTATAGGTATTTAAGTATAAACAAATTTGATATTTCTTATTGTAAATTAACGGTATATTTTATATGTTATATATAAGTAAATTATTTTGTTCTGTACATTAATTTGGGAATTAATTTAATTTTCAAAGCACAAAGTAGAAGATGCGAGTTTTCCCAGGCATGCACTAAGATGTGTATGATGTAGTTATACAAGGTATGATAATATAGTTCAGTGAAAAATGTCATAGGATGTGCTGGCATGGTAATAATGAGTAAGGAAGCTTGGAAAAGATACTCCATAATGTGTTTTAGTATGACATAGGAACAGGCATTATGAATTTCCATTATACCAGTGGCTATGAAGTAAGCTGAGAACAAAATTAAAGTATAATTTTGAGCTTAGTAAATCTTCGAAAGGAAGTCATGTTATGCTAAAATAAATTTATCCAGATCAAGCTGATGGAGCAAAGTGCATAGCATGTTTATGAATGGTTTAAATGCTTCCAGTGTAGACAGGCATCCATCTAAGATGCTGCTCAATGTGGTGGGCCTATTACTTCCTCTAATGATGAAAAATTGGGAAAGTAAAGCTTATGTTAGCCAGAATGAGCAAAATTGAATGGGAACACATTCAAGAAGGTCCTAGCAAATTTTCTGCAAAGCGTGATGTTTATCCAGAATATGCTGAGGGCTGGCTCTTGGCTCCTTGCCCATGGCAATGCTCAGACACATTTGTTTCTTACTTGAAACAGCTTATAGCCTGTAGAGTAGTTGTAGCCCTTAATCATGTGCCATACTCACCTGATCTTGCTCCAGGAGCCTTCTATTTCTGTACTTGAAACAGGCCACAATTTTTGAGTATTCCAGAGATTTAAAGGCATGTGATGAGAGTTTCCCCATAAGGTACTAAGACTTCAGTCATCGAAAAGTGTATTTAAACAATGAACATTATTTCAAAGACATATAAAATGTTTTTCCCCGGTTTAGATAAGAATCTTTGGTTTAATATATTCAAAGCCAAAGCTGATATGGTGTATTTGCTTACATCTGTGAATTTTCACTTTTATGCTTTCAAATTATTTTGTCGTTTTATTATTTAAATATAGATGAAGCAAATGATTTTTAGCAGTAAATAAATTTACATGAGTATATTTGTAGATGCTGTATGAAATAATATTTGTGCTTGTTGTGCTATGAGGTAACTTGGAACTAAATAAAAAGTACTCAACTTTTCTGCATATTCACACAAAGCTTATGCATGTGTGATTCATTATTTTCCATTAGTTTTACCCTCACTGACCAAGAATTTGAGCAATCTGCTTATAATATTTCCCAAGTGAATAAACCTGTAATGCCTTAATGCCTTTGTCATTACAATTTCCAGGCATTCCTCAGTGAAAGAAATATTAATTAAAAAATGTGTATTTAGTATGATGTGATTTTTTTCTTTTATACTAGATTATATTTTTAAAAGAGTATCAAATTGGGCTTATATTTTCTGATTATTTTTATTCATCTTTTTAATCCATAGTTTATTTTTAAAAATGTACATTTATACTTAGGGCAGATGTAAGAGTATCTAACACCTTCAGCAAAGAAAATTTAAATGCCTTTTTAATTTTCTCAAAACATGCAAAGAAACTTCTGCAAGAAAATCCGGTATGGATTCAGATGATTTTGGTCTTCTGTATAGATGATTAGCTTAATGATAAGGCTGTCAGAAATACTGGTCAGTTTAAGCAGTGGTCCTCAGCTGAAGGTAGTCAGTCCCAAGCCAGGCTCCTGTGATCCTTAAAATTCCTTACTTTTGCTTGTCTGACATTTTTGCCATTTTCAGCATGAATTAATATTTTAGGTGAATATGGAATTCAAACCACATAGCTCATAATAGAGTCATTGCAAGTTGGCATTGTGAACAATGCAAAACGATCAGCTACCCCAAAACAAAAGTTCAAGGCAGGTAAACTTGTTTTATCACTTTAGATAGTAAACTAAGTTCATTCCTCCAAAGTCATTTACTGGACTAACTGGTTTAAGAAAATAACTTCAAAAATATAAATAGGTGATTGGTTTTTCATCGAACCTTTTAAAATAGCTGTTATCAATAAAGACACTATCAGCCTGCACTAAAAAAAAAAAAGTACTTTTAATTTCAATCTTGACCTAAAGGCCTTGTTTCAGTGTACTCTAGTGAAAGAATGATCTTCAAGAAATTTGAAGTGCAAATTTCATAAAGGTCATGCAATGATTTACTATCAATTGGTGTTATCAATCAGAATTCTTCCCGGCGTTATTTTATCCATGAAACAATTGCCAAATTTTAGATATTCTGAAAAGCTTTTGTGAGTATTAACAACATTTAACATTTGCTTATGTAAGTTTTCCAGGTGGGACAGTGGCTAGTGGGGCTGACTACTACACCAAAGGGCCCAAGTTTGAATCATGGAGAAAGCATTGATATTTTTTAATGTATAGTGTCAGTGTGGCATGGGCATATTCAAAATATGCAGCGAGGCCTAAGTCCTCTTGAATGGTTTAGTAGTAAAGGTATAGGAGTAGGAGGCCTTTGGACGTATCCTTTGCTACATTGTCCTTTAAAATTGTGGTGGAACTAGACAAAGTTTTACTGTCACCTATATGGCACTCAATGCTCATGCCAAATGACAGATGTAGTTTTGCAAACTTTGTATTACTTGTTCAGACAAGTGAGATTATGGGCAATAGAACTATTTAAATCTTCTGGGGATCACATATTTACACAGAGAATTCAAGTGTATGAGGTCCAACACTGATAAAAAGATGGAGACTAGCTAGAGCATTCCTTTAAAAAGGAAATGGCTAGTTTTATCTTAAAGTTTTATTTATTTACTTGTTTATTCTTACTGTTATTTTAAATCGATAGTTGTTGGGTAATGAGGCAGCTTTTCTGTTAGACCATGGAAGGTTCTAGCAAGATTTACATGTTCAAGATTAATGGCTGAAAATTTAGAAAAAACCTACAGCAATATGAAAAACATGTTCACTTCTATCGAATAATTTTATTTTACAAGATCATGGTGTAATGCTTTTATTGTTTGGAGAATTTTTCAAAAAAGTGAAACAAAATTGTTTTGAAATATATATATATATATATATATTTTTTTTTTTTTTTTATTCCAAAAGTCTTTTTTTAAACTAGGTACTTATATTTGCATTTTTCTTTTTTAGCTTTGAGAAGTAATTTAATCAAGCAGAAGGAAGTGGCTGAATGCATTGTTTATACTCTTTTCTTTATTTATAGGTATGAAGAAACTACAGTTGTCAAAAATACAGTGATGACCACTAAAGAAGCTGTGAGTGAGAAGCTAGCTGAGTGCAAAAAATGGCATACTGTCCATTGTGTATGTTCATAATAAATTTTTTTTTTTTTTTTTTTTTTTTGTTTTTTTTTTTTTTCTTTTTTTTAAAAATGGAATTAGTATTGAATTAATAAAATTTTGTATAGTGCTATTATAAAATGTTTATAACTTACTAAATTAAACAGTTTATAACCAATTTTACATGCAGGAATCTTTGTCTACTGTATGTGGAGCAGAACTTGCTAAATGGTGTGCAGATGTATCGAGTGATCAGAGCATGGATACTTTGTCTGTAGCACCTGTAGTAGAGTTTCTGCAGTCAGCTGGCCAAGGTCAGCTTGTTCAGCAAGTAAGTTTCCATTCTTTGATATTTCTGAATTTGATTTTTAAATTTAGGTAAAATTTTGATAGGTTCAAAATAGAACTTTCTATCAAATCCGAATATGGTTGTCAAATGGAGTCAACATATGGAACTGACATGCACCAAGTCAAGCGAATATAAATTCTCTCATAAATTTCTCTCACAGGGTTTATTAATTTTCTCTAGGATTTGTGTTATTCTTTGTATAGTTGAATTTTAGACTTGTATTACATGACTAATTTTTCCGCATTTTATGTTCTCTGAAATACATAGGAATTTTTTAAAATTTCAAATTTTGTTTGCTATCTCTATTTACTATATTATCTTTAATGTAGTCTGTTATTTTATTACTTATTCACTATATTTACTGATTTTTTTTTATTAGCATAATTTCTGAAATTCTCTAGAAAATGTCCTTCAATTTTTTTTGGGGGGGGAAGTAATTGCTATGTTAATGTAGAATGCTTTTAATGTAATTAATGAATAATGACCCGAGACAGTATCTGCTGGCTTTTGGTGTTGCACTAGTGTCTTTGTGCAATTGTACATTATTGATATGCCAAGTAATTTATTTATTCCAATAATGTTTGTTAGTGTGAACATGCTGAGAGTGAACTTGCTAATGCTGTTCAGCAGCATAGATTGACTATGAGGAACTGCATTGAACTTCTCACAACTTACGCTGCTATTGTTTTACAGGTATTATTTTTTATAATATTGCAATTTCATTTTGTTGATAGAGGTGACAGAGTATTAAAGAAATTTACTTGTTATATTTTTAGCATGACATATTGGTTAAGAATATTCCTCAATTTGATACTTTTTTATGAACTTATTATGTATAAATAAATTTTTATAAATAACATTTTTTTAAAAAAATGGGGAATTATGTTGCATTATAAAAAAATTTTTTAAATTTTTATAATTAAATTATTCTAATGAATAAAATATTTTATTTATTATAAATTTAAAGTACTAAATGGTTACCCTTCCTAGTTTGGACCTACCTATAGAGAGCAAAATAGATGTTTTAGATGGCAGCAGTGGCTAGAGAATTTGCTTTCTGATTTTACATCTTTGAAGTAAGTGCTAGACTCTTTTATTATTATTATTATTTTCTGTTTCTAATAATTTTTGGAGAGTTAGAGAATTAGATTAACTTAAATTTTCATTTTAGTTGTATTTCTTGGCATACATATGAAAATTAATTTTCACATATTTGTTGTAAGCACATATGATTAAATTATTTTCACTGTTGACTGATTTGGATAAATATAATAAATCACAAATGAAACAATTTGTTACAAATTAGTAGTTAACAAAGTGTTGTTATAATTAAACATATAACTTTTTTACCCAGTTATCATTTCGTGGTGTTTCTAATATTTGTATAAATATTTTATTCATAAGAATATATATTCACAGGTGCATTGAAATAATATCTGATTTTCGTAACCTCTATGGTAGAGAAAGTCCTGATGCAATTCAGTCTGCTATTTCTCTGAATGTTCAATTTCAGACAGTGATATCAGAAATTAATACTAAAGTTGTTCAAGTAAGTTATCTTTTACAATCAATACTTTGTCCTTTTAAATGTGTATGTGTACCAGTCTTTATTTTTCTAAAAGGAATACCTTTAAAAGTTGAAACTTTGACTGTTATAAAATTGATTTGATCATCCAACTGTGGTTGAACCAATTTGAAGATCTATTTTATAAGACTTTTTTCTAATAAAATATTACGCAAGGGTATCATAAACTGGTGTGCAAAATTTAATGAAGTAGTAGAACAGAATAACAGACTTTTTTTGGTTTCTTAGGTATTATTATAAAATCTAACATATATGACCCCTTTGAAAGAAGGCAGTTGCAGGTATTTACTGGGGAAAAAAAAGAGTAGTATATGTATGGTAGCAAAGCATGATGTGTTTAACATGAGAATGTTTTACTCGTATAACGTAACAAAAGCATCAGCAAAATGAAGTTTACGTGCCTTATAAAGGTGTTTTTTTTTTTTTTTTTTTTTTTTTTGTGTGTGTGTGTGTGTGTGTGTGTGTGTAAACAGAATTTCTTATTAGAACATCTTGATTTATCACTCCCTGGCTGATAAAAAGTGGTATCTTGCATATGGTTTAGAATTGGATGATCCTCTCTAGAACTGATTTACTTTAGTGAACAAACTATCACCAATCCAGCGAAAATGGAGTGGCAGTTCTTTAAAAGTTCAGGGACAGTTCTCGTTGGGAAACTTGCCAAAAATTTGATCCCTCTCATATAAACGCCGTTTGCTTTATTATTTACCTGAAAGTCTTTGACCTTTTTTGTGCATGTGTGTGTGCTATATATGTATATATATGTGTGCTTTTGGTTTGCTTATATTCCATCTAGTATTTAAAAAACAAAACATTAAATAAACAAATGCAGTTCAGCAAAACTGATGACCCCTGTTTGCAAACTGTTTGACCCTCCCCCATCTGGCAGTGTGAGGATCTGCTTAATGTACGTAGATTTTAGATGCTCAGTTTTCTCCTCAGACTCCCAGCTGTCGTTGCTCTGGCTCTGCTTCTCTAGCCGCAGATCTGAGCCCTTCCGATTCTTGATTATTCTCTCTTTTTATCGCTGTGGTGCTTCTTCTCTAACCTCAGATCTGGTCCCTATGGTGTCTTCATTATTCATACTTTTCATTGTTCCAGCACTTTTCTTTAGCCTCAGATGTGGATCCTGCAGAGTCTTGATTATTGGTCCTTTTCTCTTCGTCGGAACTCTTTTTTGAGTTTCATTTCAATTCTTTGAATTCTGTATTAAAGAATAGCTAAGTGCATTACGTTTTACCTTTTATATGCAATATTATTAAAGCATTTATGTGAAATAATAAATTATATTTTTATGTATTATTTTACTAACATCTTGTAGTCAAGAGCTGTGAATTTCTCCTTAATCTTTAGAATTGGTTTATATTCATAAACATAAATTTTTCCATCTAATGTATTTTTTCAAAGTTGTAGAACAGAATGTAGAGCTTACCGCATAGAAGAACAATCAATGACATTTGACATCATTTTGTCAAACTAAATAAAAAAGGAAAATGCCAATATTGTGAGCAAGCAATTTCCTGTTCTTTGGGATCTGCTTGTAAACTAAAAATTAATTTTTATGCCTTGCTTTGAAGTAGCAACAAAATATCAATCATAGTAATAAAATAATGTAATCTTTAACAATAGTGAGTTTAGTTTTTATTTTTCAACTTTCTGAGCATTTTTTTTATTTCAGAATTTTATTTCAGTCCAGAGAGTGAGCGGTTAGATTGAGTTGATTCCACCAATCCCACTCCTTGTTTGATTCTTTCTGCTTTTCCCCATCTTTGCACACCACTCTTAATCTACTCCTGTTCTGAGTGCATTCATTAAGATCATTGTTAGGGAAAGCCGACTGTGGGTAGCGAACAGTCCCAGTTTCATAACCCATTATAGGAGCAGTTTTACCCATTTTTAGTATGATCCGAGAATTGATACTGGTATTGATACATGTTACACGAATGCGTGCTCTTCAGGATAAATGCAAAGCACCAGTGATGTTCATCCACTTGCATCTACAAACCATAAGATCTAATCGATTCTTGAAAACATATATTTTAAATTAAATCAATAGCAAAGACAAAAGAAATGCATCAACAATCTAAGCAAACTTTGAAAATATTGCTAGAATTCAGGGCTGGGAACCTTGTACTGTTAAGTGGCAAGATTGCCTTTATCTGGTCATGAGATTTCCTCTCTATATCAGCTTATAATTTAAAATATTTTGTGTACTTGTTTTCTCTGATGTACATATTGTGTTAATGAATGGAAGTTTATAAAAACAAAAATTACAATAAATAATTGTAAAAACTTTAGCTAATAAACTCAAACTTTAGCAATTAATTACCTGTTATTTAAGCAATGCACATAATCATTTTGCATTTATTACAGATTAAATAATCATATCGGCAGTGTATTCTGTACAAACTGCATTTATCAAATACAAGCTGAAATCAATGTTTCATAATAAGTAGATGCAGTATGTGTATGAAACATAAATTTCGCAGGATTTAATGCAGCTATCTTTTGTAAGGGTTGCCACGCTACCAGGAAAAGTCAGGGAATATGAAAATTGACTAAAAAGGTCAAGGAATTAAAATGTTTTGGTCAAAATCTGGAAACATTGGGGAATTTCATATGGTGATCCCCCCAAAAGTGATATTTTACGGCAACATTGGAAGTGATCACTTTCCTAACGAATTATGTATCACGTGAGCATCATTCGGGCAGCTGGTGTGGAGCCAGTTTTCACAATTTCAATCAGATTGTATTTTAGGAAGGCAAAGCAAGTTTCCAGCAACATTGGTTTCCAGTAACCTCGAGAATCTAGAGATTCGCATGTGCAATGCATGTTGAACGAAAGAAATACCTTCCCATTCTTGTATAAAATAAAATCAGTTTAATCCTGTGAGCAGCTTGCGTTTTTTGGATCTGTCAGGAAGACCTGTATTCAAAGAGCC